GAAGAGTTTGTAATTTATAGTGATACTTCACGCCAAGGACTAGGTCGTGTTCTAATGCAAAATGGAAAGGTTATAGCTTATACTTCAAGACAATTGAAGAAGCATGAGTTAAACTATCCAACACATGATTTGGAGTTAGCTGCAGTAGTGTTAGCATTGAAAATTTGGAGGCATTATTTGTACGGTAAGAAATGTCAGATAATTACCGATCATAAAAGTTTGAAGTATATCTTTGATCAAAAAGAATTGAACCTGAGACAAAGAAGATGGTTGGAGTTGNGAGACAAAAAAAAAAGATGGTTGGAGTTGATAAAGAATTATAATTGCAAAATTGACTACCATCCGGGGAAAGCTAATGTAGTTGCAGATGATGTCAGTAGAAAGACTGGATCTTACTCTTCATCCACTAAGGTTTGTACTTCTTTGACTGGTGAGTTTAAAAAGTTGCATGCTCAATTTTCACTATTACTTCAGATGCAGTATTAGCTCATTTTTAGGTAAGGCTTACTTTAATAGATAAGGTTAAAGAAGCTCACTCTCAAAACTTGACATTGAGAATATTGAAAGTAGAAGTGAGTGTTGGGTTAAGAACATATTAAATGATTAGAGATGATGGTGAATTGGCTATGATAAATAGATTATGTGTTCCCGATATTTCAGAATTCGAGAATGAGATTTTAGAATAAGCACATAGTCCTTCTTATGCTATGCATCCAAGTAGTATTAAAATGTATCACATATTGAGAAATCATTACTAGTGGCGGGGTATGAAAATAGAGATAGCTAATTTTGTATCTAAATGTCTTATCTGCCAGCAGGTAAAGCCAATTAGTCAAAAAACAACAGGACTTTTACAGTCATTGCCTATTCTAGAATGGAAATGAAAGTACATTACTATAGACTTTTTATTTGGTCTCCCTCGTACTCAGAGTGGTCATGATGGTGTTTGGGTTATTGTAGATCGATCGACCAAGATTGGCTGATTTTTGCATATCAAAGCCACTTAGACTTTGAATAAGTTGGGCAAAGTTGCATGTAGATAAAATAGTCAGCTCATATGGTACTCCATTATCAATTATATCAAATAGACATCCTTGATTTACATCTAAATTTTGGCCTAGTTTGCAGGGAGCCTTGGGTACTAAACTACATTTTAGTACGGCTTTTCATCCTCAGACAGATGGCCAGTCAGAGAGGACCATACTGACTCTTGAGGATATGTTGAGAGCCTGTGTTTTAGTATGGGTACTAAGCTACATTTTAGTACAGCTTTTCATCTTTAGATGGTCGATCAGAAAGGACCATACAGACTCTTGATGATATGTTAAGTACTTGTGTTTTAGAGTTCAGGGGTAGTTGGAATATTCATTTGTCTTTTATGGAGTTCGCTTACAATAAAAGTTACCACTTGAGTATAGAAATAGCTCGTTTTGAAGCTTTATATGGTAGAAATTGCAAAATGCTAGTATGTTGGGATAAAGCTGGTGAACAGAAGTTAGTATGGCTTGAATTGGTTCAAATGACTTCAGAAACTGTGAAATTGAAAGTTGAAAGCAACACAAGATAAACAAAAAAGTTATGCAAATTAGTGTAGGAAAGATCTTGAATTTGCAGTTGGAAATAGAGTATTTTTGAAATTTTCATCTTGGAAAGGAGTGTTGACATTTGGCAAATGAGAAAAGTTGAGTCTACGATATATTGGACCTTATCAGATTACTGAACGGATTGGTCCAATTGCATATCGATTAGATTTGCCAGTTGAATTATCCATAATCCATTATGTTTTCCAGTTTCTATACTTCGCAAGTACATGGTAGACACTTATCATGTTCAAGAGTCTCAACCAGTTTAATTGAATGAGAATTGGACATATATAGAAAAATCGTGTGAATTCTAGACAGAAAGGTACAAATTCAGCGAAACCAAACAATTTCACTTATCAAGGTCCTTTGGAAGAATCAAGAGGTGGAAAAGGGTACATGGGAGAATGAGAATCTGATACGTGTTCAATATCATCATCAGTTCATTGATTAGACAGTTGCCAATCGAATTTCGAGGACGCAATTCTTTTAAGGATGTAAGATTGTTACACCCCATTTTATACTAGTCAAAAGTCAAGATTTTATTTCAAAATCAAAGGTTCAACTAGTCAAAGTTAGAGTCAAATAGGGACTTATATGGAATAAATTATTTTCTTGGGATTTATTTTACAATGGACAATAACTGATGGTTTAAGAAGATTAGATTTAAAGTTGGTGATGTACTTATCTATCATTGGAAGTTAAATTACCAAATGTTATGTCAAATGGAAGATGAGGGACTTCCTTTGCAAATTGTGACTCAGTTCTCCATTAACTAGCACTAATTGAAACCATTTTACTCATTTATATACACATGCAGAAGTAGAGAAACGGTGAAGCGGGAAATGGTGGAAGAAAGAGGAAAAAATAAAGGAAAATAAAGAAAGGAAAAAGAATGAAGAAAAGTTAGTTGCCAACTACTAAATGATAACCCAAGAATAACTAACCAAGACCGGGTGAATTGGTTTTTGAAACTTTTTCGACACTTAGTCTCAAAACAATTCGATACACAAGATATAAATGTAAAGTATGATACGAGAATTAAATATGCAAGTTTGATAACTTAATTCAAGTATGAATATAGCACAATATAAATGGCAATGTAAAGTGAAGTGCGATAATGTAAAGATAACAAACCGATTTAATGGAGTTCAATACACAATGTGTTCTACGTCCACGTTACTAAGCTCTCCATCACGAGAAAGGCCAAAGCACTATAATGGTAACTTACAAACAAGAAGTATCAATCCTTAAGTGACTTGCAAACAAGGAGCACTTATTCTTAAGTGACTTACAACAATGTGCACTTATCTTTAAGTGACTTACAATAAAGAGCACTTATCCTTAACAACAATCGAGTTTTCACAAGGCTCTTGAAACCACCAAAGTATAAATGATAATATTATAATTGAAAGAACTCTCTTAATAAATGATATAATCGAGTCAAGTATTTAGAGAGTTAGGATAACACTTAATAGATAGCAAATAATAAAGCTCAAATGTTTATGAAGAAAACTTTGATAAATATTCTCAAGAATGAAGAGTAGATGAAGACATGAAGTTGTGAAAAATTCTTTGTAAAATAGAATTCTTGATAAGATAAATGAAATAGGTTGAATCAATCAAAAAATTCTTTTGTAATAAATGAAATAAAATTTAGACTCAAGTAATCTCAATGATTTTCAATAAATAAGCTCTTAAAAAATCTCTTGTAAGTTGGTAGTATTGAATGCAAAAGAAATAGATATTTATAGAGCAAAAGGAGACACTCTCGAGTAAGTTCGGTTGACCAATTTTTTGAATATAACCGTTGCAAGATTCTAACCGTTGGGCTTTATATACTTGTTAAGAATCAAAGAGTTAATAGTTTTACATTTAAATTTCGATAAACTACTTATAAGTTTTAATCTTCAAAGTTCTTGTTCTTGCTCTCTTCGAGTCTCATTTGATTGCTTGTTTTTCAACGGATGACGATTTGACTCTTTGAATACATAAGAGGATATATTCATGAAAAACTCAAGAAACAAAACTTGTTAAAAATATAAGTATATTATTTGTTATAATCAAAACAAGTGAAACTATATTAAATCATAGGTCAACACTAAAAACTTGAGTTCAAGTTCATTTCTTCAAGAGGTAAAGAAGTAATTTTTTATGGAATGGTGATGATAAATTTTTAGGGTTCTAATTTATTGGTTTAATTTTCAGGTTAGTGAAAGGAGTATAATTTCTTGTTCAAGTTGCTTTATTGATAAATTTCCATTTGAATCAAGGTAAGCAATTCTAGCAAATTCTAAAATTTTTAATTTGGTTATTAAGTAAAAATAGTTTGTGAAAATGTTATGTTGATGGAATTACTCACATGAAAGTATGAATTTATGGAACAAGATGAAAGTTGAATTGGTTGAGTTGTTAGTACTTAGTTGATAGTCTTAACTATTTTGGTAGGTGTGATTATTTCTATGATTAGAATGAATGTAAATTTGGATGTAGTAAATATTGGTGAAAGTATTAGAAAGTAGAATTAGCTCCAATTGATTAAAGAAAATTTAGAAAATTTATTCAAGTATCGAGAAATCAAGTTTTAGTATTTGGTTATTATATTCAGAGTTACTTAATATGATAGTAATTAAATTGATTATTTTGTATCATATTTCAGGTTGTAACGAAAAGATTGAAAAAAACTTATCAATCTTCATACCCTATAACTTGTCTTGAATGAGTGAAAAAATTTATTTTTCAGAAATAAGTATTTATTGAACTTATCATAAATCAGAAAGTTGCTTATCTTACATTTTTTTTGAAATTGGGTTAATTTCATTTTGGTCACTAAATTTTAAGTGTGTTTAATTTGATCATAATACTTTAATTTATCTTAATTAGATCATAAAAATTTAATTTACTTTCAATGTTAGTCACTCCATTAGCCAATGTTACTAATGTTTACCTGTCAATCCTATGCGTACATTAAAAATTGAAATCAATATGACATGTTTTACATTTTCATTAAATATATCACATGTTGTGATTGTAACATCTAAAAGCGGGTTGCGTTTAAAATTTAACGATAATATATTCAACATGATATATTTAGAACTCTATTAATCCTAATTTTCAAGACTTTGGGGCCTAATCGAGGATTGTGACATTAATTTAGTACTAGAGCTAATAAAGTGACTCTTATTAAAAATATATTTAAGTTTAGTGATAAGATGATAACGACCAATTAAATCTGGGTATCGCAATTGAGATTTCATGGACCAAAAATGTAATTAAACTTTTTATAAATAAGGCTATTTTTAACTCTCGCACATTGTTGGAAGCCATTTTTGAGTTCCTAAAAATTGTTACTTACAAGTGAGTCATAATTACTGACTCACACACTGCCACCTCTCCATTCTCTTCCTCTCTGTTCAGAGGATGCCTATGCTTCTCACTGCCCATCGGTCCGCCGCAATCCACCTCCACACCTGGTGTTCAATCATAGTGAGACCCTCTTTCTCGATTCATCAACCCATTTCATACTTTTTACCCCACCCGAAGCCTCAATTTCTGCTGAAAAATATCCTCAATTTTCGAAGAATTTCGACTCGGGCATTCGATGTAGAGAAAAACGAAGTTGCGTCGGATAGAGATGAGAAAATTGAAGTGGGAAGCCAGTTGGGGGATAGTAATGATAATGGAAGCATTGGGGGATATAATGATGATAAGTATCCGAGTGGGGAGTTTGTGTTCAGGGAGTATAACCTGTGGGAGAGTTTTACAGTGAAGCTTAAGATGCTATTTGCATTTCCCTGGGAAAGGGTGAAGAAGGGCAGTGTTCTTACCATGAAAATACGCGGACAGGTTAATAACTTTTGTTTCTCCCAAGTTTTATTTGCTAGTGTTATTATACAAATCTTCTGAAATATAGATATTTTATTTGAATTTTTATTTGATTGTCACAATTTTAGTAAACTTATTCTCTGTGACTGAAGTAAAAATCTTATTTTGCAATTGATGCAGAAAAGGCTTAATTCAGGTGTTACATGAGAGAAGGCATTGAGGGGTGCCGATTCATTATTGCTGTGATGATAAAAGTTTTAAGTGTGGTTGTTTTAGTAGGTGCAATCCCAGTGCTTGTAGGGCGATGAATGTGATATTGTTTGATTGTCGCTTTAGGAGGATCCTATGGAGTCATATGTGAATTAGGAGGTTAGGAAAATTACTTCTGCTCTTATTACACCTGTTTCTGAAGCCCTTGTGCAAGAAGATTAAGGATTTTTGTGTCAGCATCATTATTGTGACAATATTTATGAGATTTTGGTGAAAGTTATCTGTAAGGTAAAGTTTAGTGCTTGATGAAACAACTAGTAAAATTAGAGTGCTTTTGTCAGTTTTGTAGTTCAATACCTCACATCACACACTTTTCCTCTCCAAATTATGATGCTGATCATGTATTTCTCTCTGTATCTGTTTGTCTGTATGCTGTATTGATGGTCAAATTGTGACATTGGCTACCATGTTCAGTGCTCCTTTGAATATGTGAGCAGTTTTGTCATTTTACTGCCTAGTAAAAAGATCTGATGGTCTTGGGGTGGGATTGGGTGTAACTTGCCTAGAGGGTAGAGTGTAGAGGGGTGGTGGGTGGTAATGTGCCATTACTGAAATCTAGTTGGTGGAACGGGACGTTAATGTGCTATTTACTCCTATTTTAATAACTAGGTGGTAATTGTTGATTTACTACATATCTCAGTTGTTGTGTTTTAGAAATTGAATTAATTATTAGGAAATCTATTTAGAAATCTCTTTGACTGTTTTCTTGTTCAGATATCTGATCAGCTGAAGAGCCGTTTCTCCTCAGGATTATCTCTACCTCAAATTTGTGAGAATTTCATAAAAGCTGCTTACGATCCTCGTATTGCGGGTATCTATCTCCATATTGAACCATTGAGTTGTGGTTGGGGAAAAGTTGAAGAAATTCGAAGGCACATATTGGATTTTAAGAAGTCAGGTACCGTATAAAGCACATGTTCAAATAACTTTTAGTAGTGTTGAATTGTGCCCTAAAGGAAGAAGAGAGAAAATATTTGGGATGCTGACTTTTTTGGGCTTTGAATTTGGGTTACATAACAGGAATGGGCTCATGATAAGAAGAAGAAGAGGATTATTTACTACTTAATATCATTACTATGCTTGAATCTCGTGTATTCAATCCTATTTTTACGTAGGCAAATCACTTTATATATCTTTATTGTTTTTTGAAGTTCAGAGTTTTATGTCCCTAGTTTTAGGTGAAATAATTTTGTTTTATTTTCATTGGTTCATTGATTTACGTGAAATAATTGTGTCAGAAAATTATTTTTTTTACCAAATTAAAATAATATGTTGCATTATGTTATTGCGGACCACATGTTCAAAGACTTCTAGATATCTCAGTGGCTCTATAAAAACACAAATGCGTATGCTGGCATATACATTTCAAAGTACTCGTTCAGGCACAGCTATGGCCTTCCTAGTTTATATTATACTATGTGCAAGCATTCCCTTTGGTTTGAAACTTGTTGAAGGAAATATAAAACTACATAACATGGTTACAAGGCATGGCAAAATATTTTCCAGGAAATATTGGATTTTCCTTTTGCATCATTAGACCAAATTCGTTGACTGAGGTTTCTGTCATGATTACTGAGATTTCTACTAAATAGATAGCTTTTATGCTCAATTACTCCAAGTCTCTGATTGGTTGTTTTCTTCAAATTAATGTCTAATTCTTTCTTTTGTAATTTGTAGGCAAGTTCATTGTGGGTTATGTGCCTGCATTTGGAGAGAAAGAATACTACATCGGCAGTGCTTGTGAAGAGCTCTATGTCCCACCAAGTGCCTACTTTCAATTGTATGGGTTGACTGTTTCAGCATCATTCCTTGGGGGTGAGTTGCTTCCGGTGGTTTTCGAAAAGAATAATGCTATGTGTACACCATTGTGTACACATAGCATTTTCCTTTTGAAAAAATCTACTTTTTTTAATAAAAGAAAAGACGAGAAATTATCCACTTAGAGAAATTATCAACCTAGCGGTCTATACTCCTGATAATGGCGATGTTCCCAACCAACAACTAGATTTTCCTCAGGGTAAGTGTGAGAAGCAGTATCATGATAAAATGAGAGAAGGTATTTGATTTGTCTGAAAATGATGTGAATCGCCCGCGGTCTTCCAACCTTAGTGATGTAGTGAACAGCCACTGACGAGTCTGCTTCCACCACTCGGATGTCTAATAACCCAAGTCATCAGCAAGTAAAATTCCATTCAAGATATCACGTAACTCAGCCTCCAGAATAAGGTAGTCTTTATATGATAACGAGAAAGCCCTAATGTAGTGTCCATCTCGATTACGAATAATGCTTCCACCACTAGCAAAATCTTTGTGATGCATCCATTGGTGTGATCTTGTATGATCCCACCGGTGGAGTACATCAAAAAACCAATATAGAGTTGTTGGGGAAAGAAGAGTTAAAGAAATATCAAAAAGTGAGGCAATTGCCGAGCTCTAGGCCAATGAACAGGTCGAAGTAAACGACCCATGTAGAGAAGTAAAATCATGCGATAGACTCTCCAAATGATTCGTCCAGGCTCCACATCAGCCGATATGAATCCTGAAGCTATCTACTAGAATGGACTAACTGCTAAGCTCACTTGGTAGAAAAGTTATCATCTGGTGTATCCCTTTAAATATTCTGATTTGGAACATTTGCATATAGAGGTATAGCCCTAATATGCTCAGCCGTATATTGTGGAAGAGCATTTAACAATCGTCTAATATCCCGTCTTGTGTCATCATAAAAGTCCTGTACCGTCATATGTATGCTATCGGTATGGGAATAAGTACACTAAAGTAGCTTTGTCTATCCAACAATCATGTCAAAAGAAAATCTATCATGCTCTAAGGTATCATGGAATGTGTGGCTCGGCCTGTGGTTTGACCAACTCCAACCTTCTCTAAATAGGTAAAGCTAAATAGGAAACTGTTGCTAGTAGAGGGTAAATACCGAGCAATATAATTTCAATAAGAACTGAGTGCACAACGATCTTTGTGAACGGAAAAACCACAAAAGCTTCGGGAAAAAAGTAACAATGTCTGCAATCTATGATGCACCGACATGGATATGTGTGTTTGTTAAGCGATTTTTCAAAGAGTATTGATAAGATACGTTGTCGACACATTAATTAAAATCTTCTAAATTCTTTTTTAATATAATATAAATTTAGTTTCATACTTATTAATTTTTTTGTTAAATTTTTTTAAATATTAGTACCTATTTTTTATTTAATAATAACTTTGAGTTAAAAATATATTTTATTTCTAATAAAGAAAGAAGGATGACCATGGTAGAGTGCCAGTATGCGACATGAGTCGGACACATTACAAACACACTATCGTAGTTGAAATGTTCGTGCAACATAGTCTACATTCTCTTGAAGTTTAGACTACCATCATCATTAGGAAGATAAATCATTTCATCTTCTCTAATGTAACCTACGAGCTTGATCCATGGAGTCCTAAAGGAATTGCACAAATATACTCTTCAACTTTTTCAGTACAACCTAGAGAGGATCTAAAGTAGATAAAGTGGTATAGAGGAAATAACGGACTTTGACAGTGTACTCTATCTCCTAAAATGATAATAAACGTGAAGCTTAACCTGAAATCCTGCTTGTGACCTTCTGAATAAAATCATCATAGCTCCCTTATATAAGGAGACTCTCGGATGTGTAAATGGATGCTCCAATCTCCTAATCTGACTAATGGATGTCTTTCAAGACATTACTTTTGTCTCTATTCGCCAATTGACCAGATACGCCCTAATAATAATTCAAACAATCTAGTGACCTCCGTATATAGACTGCTTATGGCAGTTGGAGAATATAATCATGTCATCAGTAAAAGAAAGATGTAAGACGCAAGTATTCCCTCCATGTCGATAACCCATAATAGGGTAAGTCTAGAACTATTGTGTGAGTAGGCATGATAATAATCAGCGCCAATGATGAAGAGAGATTGTAACGCCCCAAATTTCATTGACTTGAATTCTGGGATGTCACCGATTTCATTTCATAATGCAGAATTATTTAAGTAAAAATTTGAAATCCTTAATTTATTTAAAACATTCAAACATCAATCTAAACATAATGTCAAGAAATCTAAATATTTAACGGAATTAAAGAACACAAAGTATCGTAACATAATCTATTGTCAAATGTCTTTCCTTGAAAATTTATTACTTGGCAACCCGCACACCGCACAGCCACCATCCACGTTGATCGATCTGATCTGAAAATATTGAAATTTGAAGGAATGAGTGATTTAAAACTCAGTAGGGTACGTGCGTCCAAAACAATACAATAATTGTTTAAACATATATTTATAACATTTCATACCATCATTTCATCAAGAACAATCGGAGATCAATCGAAAGCTCTAGCATTTTGAGAAAACCCAAAGGAGATCCCACATTTCATTTCATCAAGACCCGTAGGTCAATTAGCATTTCATGGAATAAATCATGTAAACTAATTATAATATTATAAGGACAAAAATCACTTGCACATAAGTATCCTACCTCAATTGATGAAACGAGCTTTTGATATAAAAATATACTTAGAATTTACAGCTGCTTTCTATATGAAAACTGCTGTGTAAAATTTTTGTGTAGTGAATTGTAAGATATGGGCACACTATTTATAGGGGAAAACAGTAGTTGAGTCATAGTATAACTGTGATAAAAATCATGTTTATCTAACTTGATAAAAATTTGAATTACAATGTGACACGTGTCCATCACAACAAAAAGATTCCAATCTCAAAACAACTTTGACTTTAAATAAAAAAAATCTTACCTCCATTCTTTTTACACGTGAGATTACCCATCCTCATCTTCTTTTACTAATTATCTTAAAAGGTATAATTTCATAAAATAAAATAAAATAATACATATAAACCGTGCTTCTTTGAATTGAAATATCTTGGGCTTTACTCATCTGAACTTACATTTTCTTGAGCCCAATCTACGTTATTTAATGCGAGCTACACAATGAGCCCAATGTTGATATATTTTCGGTCACTCTATAAAAAGTTAAATATTTGGCCCATTTAAAATATAAGAATTTGAAACATACTTTATTTTTGTCCCTTAACTTTCAAAAATCATAAAATAAAATTTATAAAACAAATAATTTTATTCTAAAATTTTCGGGGTGTTACAGAGATGATGAGATGGGATCGCCCCATTGTAGACCTCGTGAAGAGGGGAAAAAATCGACATGTCAAAATACACCGATCACCTGACACCCTATTAATCCATAGCTAATCGAATCCAAAGTCCTAAAATATAATAGAATAAAGAAAACTGCGATTCGTGCGAGTATATGTTTTAGCCTTAAACTTCAGCACAATATTCCTCGTTACTCCAGTATCCTAAGTGTGGAGAAGCTCCTAAGACAGTAAAACATTATCCTCAATTAGAAGACTAGGGATAAATCCACTCTGTTGTGAAGGTATAATATTTTGTAGTACAACACTCAATCGAGTGTTCAACAGTTTTGTGCAATAAAGGAAAATATACCCAAACAATAGGAACTATGGGAATCTCATGCTCGGGGCTAAAACTAAGTATCTACTTAATAACACGTATTGAACAACCATCAATAATGAATAGACGACTCGAATCATGCTCAAGAGATAGATGAATATTTATATGCTTGAAATTTATCAATCATAGCATAAAATCACAGTGAAAACCAAATTTCTAAAAACTCTCATGTACCTTAATCATAGATGGCTTTTGATATGTACTTGTATGGCTTAGAAAAAAGAACTTCCTCAAAAACTGTAATGGCTGACTCATCTATATGTATAAAAGGTTCCTTATCAGCGAACCTATGACTTATGAGATATCGAGCCTTGGGAGCCTGAAGGGCATATTCAAGAGACTTCCTTGGGCTCTGCTCAGCCTGAGAGATGATGGGTTGGCTAGAAAGTGCAACAGCATAAGACTTCTTTCCCTGAATCTACGCAGATTGAGTTATTGATGGCAAAACATGTGGATGGGATTACTTGAATGCAGTAGGGCGGCATAGGGAGTAGTCGAGCGCGTGCACCCCATGCGCCTGAAGGCGGCAAGTGCACCACACATGTGGACGGTCAGAATCGGAATGGCTTGTTGGGGCTAGGGCTGTAGTGCATAGGTAGACAAGAGGTCGGAGCAGGAGCATTGCACGGATTGGCGGGTTCCTATTTGCTCTTGTTGTAGTCTGCCACCGGGACTGATGGTGCCTTAACCCTCCAAATCAGCTAGAATCGGATCTCCGGCGTGGGATCATGATGTGGAGCAGTGGCGCTAGGGCTTACACCTATGGCTGCCGCCTGAGTGGTGGTTTTTTGGCCGGTTTGGCCGGTGGGTTGTGAGTGGCCCTTGAGGTGGTCGTTGGGTGGTTTTGGATCTTATCTTAGGGACAAGTTCTCCATTCTAGATAGCCTTCAGGAATTTCATCATGTCATGAATCTTCTTAAAATTCGTGTCAAGAATTGACGTGACAAAAATTATGGGTTTCAATCAAACTAGTCAGGATAGGACATTCTTACTAATTATGCATCAGAGGCAACCTATATCACATGGTATTTTGCGATATGATAGAGAATCAGAGTAGAGTCTGAAGATAAAGCTGAAGGCCAAAAATTTCCTTACCTATTACCTGACATTGATGATTTCACTTTCCAAGATATTATTTTTCTTCAGAACTAATATGACGACTTCTAATGAGACTCTTGTACTTGAATATTATGTATTTGTCTAAAATGTACATAAATCTTGGAGTTCTCATGTCTCAAACTTCAGTCTTTAAATTATATGCTTGAATCAGTGCTGAAGGTAAGTAAATTGTTGGCCTATTTCAATACCTATAAAATGAAACTAGGGACATTAGCAGTACCTGAAGCATCTCACAATTTTCTTAAAGGGGTCAATCAAAATAGATGATGTCAATTATTATGCCTTTTCAATTGAAGTGGAGTGGCATCATTTATGGTTTTGTAGGTGTCCTTGAGAAAGTTGGGGTTGAGCCACAAATTCAACGGATTGGTAAATACAAGAGTGCAGGGGACCAACTTGCGCGTAAAAATATATCTGACGAAAACCGTGAGATGCTGACTGCGTTGCTCGATAATATTTATGGAAATTGGCTTGACAAAGTTTCGCTTGCAAAAGGTAATTTTGTGCTTCATAGTTGGGTTTGACTGTCATGTAAAGGACTTTGTTATCTGGTATCTTTTTATTTCCTGTGTAGGAAAGAAGAAGGAAGATATTGAAAACTTTGTCAATGAAGGAGTTTATGATGTTGAGAGACTGAAAGAAGGTTGCTGGATAACAGATATAAAATATGATGACGAGGTGTATTATTTATGTTCTTCTGAGAATTATGATCCTTGGAAATTGCAATGTTTCTAGCCTCTCGGTTTGCTCAATTTCATAACATGCCGACATTTTATTCAAATAAGTGCTTCTTCAAGCAGCATTTTCACTTGTACATATTTCCTTATCTAGTTTATCTTGAGAATCCAAAGCCAAACCAGACTGTACCACCTGGACAAATCCTATCGGCCAATAATTTTGATATTCTTGATTCATTTTAAACCAATAAATGCATTTTGACTTTTTTTCTCTAACCTACGACTTTTGAAAGGAATTTTGAGAATAAAAGTTTCTGAAGCTCAACAAATAGTTGTTGCACAACTAATGTTCAAAATTTTATTTTGGTGAGTATATATTTTACCTTACTTACCTTTCACCCAGAAAAAACATTATATGGAGAAGAGTACTCTGTTAGTCAGTGAAGACAACCCGTAGGAAAGTGACTAAGCCCTTAAATAGGTCAGAGAAAATCGGTAGTGTCATGTCAAATGAATCCATTACAATGCATATTAAGAATCCTGCATTTTCCTGAAGGGATATGCGCGAAGACATTGCTATGTTATAACTTTTGCCAGATATATTCATTATACCATTTAGTTTATTGAAGATGTAAAAAATGTTTCGTTGGCAAGTATGAGTGCATTCAGAAAACTTTGCTGCTTCAAAAATGCCGTGTTCTGAATATTCTGGTTATAGCAATTCATTTTCTATGTTAGCGTATGTGATAAAGTCAATGTTGTGCATAGTCTCCTGGAAATTTCATTAACCCTTACACTTCTAGCAACAAATACAATGCCCCTTTTTATAAAATCTGGCCTAAACTGTGTAGTCTTTGATTTGCTTGTTTATAACTGTTAAAGGGTATTTAGGTCTTTTATGTAATACCTAGGGTCTCCTAAGGTTTTCCTAACTCTTATTATAAATAGTGGGACAGGCTAACGTAATTGTTAAGCCTTCTAATTCTTTTACTTTAACAGA